ATATTATAGGGAGAAGTTTCATGTTGATCACTTCTGGGAGTTAAAGGGTTAAGATAAGTTGTAATTTTTTTCCCCATAGTTTTCTTTTAGTTTCTTCACTAAACCAAGCATATTGATTAATAAAAGTGTTAATAAAATCTTACAGTGTTGGAAGGGTTTATGGAGTTTTACTTCAGAGGTTCTCGTGATCTTATTAGCAACTCAAAGCAACCTAAACTTTCTTTCGAATGTCAGGCGATGCTCCCCTCAAGGCTACTTTTGGAGGGGGCTTTATGTAGCATCCCTGAAAATAGCCTTGAAAGGAGATTGAAAAGGCATGTATGAGACCCACTTATAGAAAAATCCCACACACATCTCAGTTCCTTCCTCTCTCTCCTTCTCTTACTCTTTGACACTTGATAAATTCAAGTGATTCTGGAGTGCAAGAAACAAAATATAAGGAAGGGGTGAACAAGTTTGCCCATCCATAGATTTGGCCTTGATGAAAAATAGCGAAGGTTTGCAGATTTTAGTAAACGAGAAAGCAGATTTCTGAGTTTAGAAATATATTTGAATTTTGAATCAGCTGAAAATTTTGACACAGACTCTGCATTCTGGGTCCAAAATTTTGGAATATGGACCATCTCCCTCTCCCTTGGCAATGCTTAGCCATGATAAAGATGCATTTGGAGCCAGTTTGAACAGTAATATGTCTGACCAATAATGACCAATGCAAGGTCATTTAAAGAAATCTTCACCCACAACCCTAAGTGAATACAGCAACCAGGATTTCAGCTGGATTAACTGTGCCTAAGACTGGCTTGTTGTGTAATTGGAAACACAGTTACCTGTGGTTTCCACCTGCACCCCTACCAACTGAGAAAACACCGCGAGGGGACAATGCAGGAGAGAAGACTGGGTCTAGGATAACGAAACGACAGATAATGGCGGACGATCAAAGTACCGGCCGGTGTATCTCTGCTTGTACACTGACAGTGTTTAATAGTTATATTTTTATTACATCTGAGAGTCTGTGGGAGTTTGAAAGGACATAGCTTTCAAATATGAAACTGATCGCAAAGAATTTCGAGAAAGACAGTTCTGGGTAAGGGTTTAGGTAAATAAATTTAGAAACGTAAGCTTTAGGCAATTGATATCCCGACATAGAGTTCTCGAGCTCTCTAATCAGAATAACTATTTAATCACTGATCAGAATAGTTTTACGTCTTAAGGCTTAATTTGGTCATTAACATCTTTTTTAACTAACCTCTACCATTTTTCCATGTTGATGTTAGGAAAATTAAGACCATCGTCTGATGAAAAATACATATTCTGCGAAAAATCGGATCACTATCTTCATGGCGAATTTAATCGCCCTTGAAATGTTGTTTTAAGTTATTGTTGGCTGTATTTTCAATACTTTCGATCTTTGATTACGTGAATGTATCCATGGTATAGGCATCAGTTTGTGAGTAAGATGAGGTCGAATTGGTGGGTGTTATGATCATGTATCACCAATATCAACATTTTAGATTTCCAGAAGTCGGCATCTCTGCCATGAAATCAACAGCTTGTGCCAATCGTTGTAGACAATGGGTAAAGATTTCCTTATATCCCTATTCTATTCTGGAAAAAGCTGAAGACCCAAAGGCAATCAATAGTTTTTGCAATTGCATTCCTTCATGTGATAACTGTATGCACAATGATTTAGGGGGGTAATACACAGATCTTGCATAGAATTGCAACCAAAATAAGCAGATTGGTTTGTTTTATAGATTAGGAAAAGTTTGGGATACAAAAATGGCTTGTAATGCTCCTTCATGATTGTTCTTCTTAGTTACATGCTGTTTACAGTTTTCATGTAACAACACTTTTAGATCAGTTGTCCTTGTCCCAGATGAGGCTGAAGATATGTGGCATGCATATAACCTAATAGCAGTTGGCGATCACCTTAGATCAACTACTATCAGGTAAAGTATTTACAGTGATTAAAATAAGTATAAATATGTTGGCTTATCATCACAAATGCTGCATTCTTATTGGCCAAGCTTCTCGCTATTTATTCCATGATAGATAGTGAATAGAGTAAGTAACAACAACGTGTGGTTGCAAACAAAATGAAATAAAAACATAAGTCTGGCTAATTATTGTTAAGTTTTAGACAACTTATAACATTAATGTATACTTAATAAACAAGTAGATCATTTGCTCTCAGTAACTAAGCATGACAGAGTTGAGTTGTACTTCACCTTCATCAACTATCTTAGTAATGAAATTTCAAGCTCAGCTGTAATTGTCAAGTAATGACACTGTTACTTACAATACTGATAACTAATAAAAAAGTGATTTAAGCAGTGGTGAAAATAAGGCCTCTGAAAAACCAGTGCAGTGTTCTACCAACTGAGTTAACAAGCCAATTGGGAGCTGGTCACTATTTTGGTTGATGAAGCAATGACTGTGAATATATAAGAATCATATATGTGAACAACTGATAGAGAAATGAACATGAAAGCGATCTTTGAAGTTACAAACACTACTTTAGCAGTAGTGAAAAAAAAAACCTGAAAAAAATTTAGGTCTGTACAGGACTTGAACCTATCACCTTGCAATACCGGAGCAGTATTCTACTAACTGAGCTAACAAACCAACTGGGAGCTGATCATAACCAGTTCTATTACATTTTAATAACTGTTGGATATTTGGTCAAGCCTGATGTAAGAAAACACATTGTGCTCCATAATGGGAGAAAAAGTAGGAAGACAGATACTACTAACAATATCTATGGTGAAAATCATAGTCTCTTTTTGTTTGTTTTGTCAGGCGAGTACAAACAGAGTCAGCAACAGGATCAGTCAGCAGCAATAAAGTTCGAACAACTCTTTGCATTGCTGTAGCAAGAGTTGAATTTGATACCCAAGCATGTATGTTGAGGATTAATGGACGTAATGTGCAAGAAAATCAGTACGTTAAGGTATGTCTAACAAAAGCTGTGCTTGTCTTCACTTCATTAACCCTTTAAATCCCAGATCAAATTTTTAATTCTCCTTACTGTCAACCATACAGTTCTTACAATGTTGGTTCAGAGAATTTAGTATTGAATCAGCTTATCAACTTTATCCACTAATTGATTTTTTTCTTTATTCTCATCACTTACTTAGTTGATATTGCATTTATATTGTAAGGAGAAATTCTGTTTAATGGTTTGATTGTAATGCAGAGTGTGGGCCAATTTGGTAGTACATATTTATCCTTCCCTTCCATTGTATTGATTAACCTGGAAATTGCAAATTGTCTTACAACCAACAGATGGGGGCTTACCATACGATAGACTTGGAGTTGAATAGAAAGTTCACTCTTATCAAAGAGTACTGGGACATCATCGCTCTAGAAAGAGTTGGTGAGTTGACTTGAACAGAAAATAAACCTTAGCCTTCTAAAGTTGAGATAATGCATTTGGTTGAAAACTTAAATTATGAAATCATTTCATGGGATTGAAGATAAATATGATTACTACTTTTCAGAAATGGCTTGTGACCCAGCACAGCATGCTGATATAGGAGCCATTTTACTTCATGAAGGTAGGTCATTTGAGGGCTTATTCTCACAAATAACTGGAGACAATGTCAGGCCAAACCATGCAGCTTAACCTTTATTAAAAAACATGAAAATGTTACAACAGAGCAACCAAGAGTAAAAATGCTCTCTAGATTACATGCCACAACAAACTTCAAAAATTTAATTACCAATCTACTAACTACCTTATTGAGGACCCTTGGCCAACAAAGGCTGCATTACAATGAAGAGAGAACTTAATGACATTGAGATGGTTAAAACTACTTAGCTTGAAGAGCAGAGGGTCAGGCAGTAGCAAACAGCAACCAAAAACTGATAAATTACAACCAACCATATGACTAAACCCCTCACAAACTTGCACCCAGGCTCCCAGATGTGTATGAGAAAAATTTTTTCTGCTTTTTTTTTGTTCTTCTGCCAGCAGAAAACAACACTTCTGGTCTTTTAAATTCAGCTGATCCATAGAACTATAGTTAACACCGTATTGATCATTTAATAACTAAGATTGTTCCTGCAATTTAAACAGGTTACTGAAGGAATCAATTACATTTAGGGTTACTCCCCAAATTTTTGTTCTGAAAATCAACAAAGCTAATACCACTTTTTGTAAACAGTGAAGAGTAAACAGTGAAGAGTAAACAGTGAGAAGTGGGCGTTACCATTTTTTCTTTAAAAAAATTTATTTTGAGTTATCTGTCCTTAAATTCTTGAAATAAAACTTCCTTGAGAGTTATTTTCCTATTACATCGATAATTGAAGTATTCTATAGTCATTAAATTGTGTTCTTTTTCTTCCAGGTCTATGCCATATCTGCCTAGTAACATCAAGTATGACCATTGTTAGAGCAAAGATTGACATGAATATTCCACGAAAAAGAAAAGGATTCTGTGGCCAACATGACAAGGTCAGTGCCAAAAGTCTGATTAACTTCCATTTTGATTCTAGCCATGTGAATAAGAAAAAGCTGAAAAAGCTCTTGATTTTCAGGCATACAGGTCTCAAAGGACTAATTCAATCATATGAAATGATCATGTGACATTCAATCATGTTAGGTAAATACCTACCTGCAGCTGTCGATAATGTAATAGGCAGCTGTACCATAAGGCTAAACCCAAACACTAGAGCCTGCTTGCAGCTCAAACAGATGGTGAGAGGTCTTAAATGCAGTGGTAGACCTCCATTTATCAGCTTTTATAAGACCCTGGTATTATGATTGAATAAACAAAATATCAACAACAGTGTAAATGATAACTATGATGTTAAGCTCCTATTAATTGGAAATTACATTTATTTGGGTTTTCACTTTTTTCAAGAGTAAATGTACCTGAGCATTTTTAACAATGGGTTTTATACCTCTCTTTGTGACAGCTTGAATATTAATCAGAGTTATTTCTTGTTAAACAGGGTTTGTTTAAGTTTTATGATGCTATAATCCAGGGTATTCTCAGGCATATTAATTTTGAAGGTACGTTTGTCATGGTTCTCTATCATTACATGGTATTGCTAGGGAGCTGATCCCTGGAAAGTCTTCCCTTCTGACAGGGTTCAAAATTGCCCCTAGCTGGTCACCAATGGAACCAAAAATCAACTGTGAAAACTGATTGTTAATGCTCCCTGCCAGCAGGCAACTACATGTAGCATAAATAATTTTTTATTTTCTTCATGTAAACCAGTGCTTAAAAAATGAAAATCTGTGATTCTTCCCTTGGAGCTTCCAAAATTTTATTGGACCAGTTGCCAATGCAGTTGCTATTGCTAGTGCTAATCAACAGTTAGTATAGGTAATAAGTAAACATGATTTTGAGTGCAATTTGGTGTTAATAGGCACAAGTAAATTTTTCAAAAACAACAAAATTGTGCAAGCCAGTAGGGCAAATGCAATTTGTAGCTTTTGAAAATTTTACAAGTGCCCATTATACCAAATTGCAAGGGAAATCATGTTGTTACTTGTTAATAACGTATATGAAAATAAATCAGAGAGTCAAGATAGATGTAAATTTTGACAGTGCATGTGCTATTTGTAATTTGTACTCATGTTAAAACTTTGCACTTGTGTTACAACTTGGTACTCTAATTACATGAGAATGCACTAGTTTTAAGCCAATCAGACCTGCGCAATTTTTCATGTACATTTATATATTAACTAGTTGAGCAATAATTTGTTTTATGCAAGGAAATATCTTTACAACCCCACTTTTTCATGTTTTTTATTTTATGAATCTAACTTTCATGTAGCCAAATTATTCAATTAGCCAATTGGAGCAAAAATGTTTGATTGCCATGCAGCACCCACGTAAAAAAAA